ACACACACTCACACACACACTCACACACACTCACACACACACACGCACACACTCACTCACTCACACACACACTCACACAGACACACACACACTCACACACACGCACAGGTGAGTGTGTTGACAGTCTGGGAATATTTGGTCATTATAGTCCTCTACTGGAAGTTCATTCAAAGCAGATTGAGCTGTCAGAAGATCAGCGTAATATTGTATGATGTTCAGCGACTGACATAATCTTGTGAATTATTTATGTAATAATCCACAAATGCATTTAATAATTATTTTATGAAACACGCTGAGGTGAGTGTGTTGACAGTCTGGGAATATTTGGTCATTATAGTCCTCTACTGGAAGTTCATTCAAAGCAGATTGAGCTGTCAGAAGATCAGCGTAATATTGTATGATGTTCAGCGACTGACATAATCTTGTGAATTATTTATGTAATAATCCACAAATGCATTTAATAACTAACTTATTAAACACGCTGGCTTTTATTTGGAAGGAAACACCTGTTTCCATGATCACGTGATTAGATGGGCGGCGTGCTGAACGGGTCACGTGACTGATGTGAACAACAACAGCCAATCACATTAGTCTTCTGGTGTTGCATGAAGGCGATTGGCTAGCGTCTGCGCTAGGGTATTTGCATAAGGCGATCTGATTGGTTGACGCAACACCAGAACAGTAATGTGATTGGCTGTTGTCACTATGACGGTCGCGTCAACGCCAAGCTTCAGAAACGCAGTCTTCCTCTTTCGTTCCAGAGCAATGAAAAGCATTGAAGAATAGTCTCTATATCAGCGCAAGTGTTGCTACACACTTGATATACTGCATCAAAACATATGTGCATCATACTATGATTTCCATTTAATACTCGTAAAGATATACTGAACAATGCATAATTCTGTACATACTAAATATCTCTGAATATATTACAGTGTAGCTGTAAATACAGTTGAGGTCAAAAGTTTACATCCCCTTTGCAGAATCTGCAAAATGTTAATTATTTCCCCAAAATAAGAGGGATCATACAAAATGCATGTTATTGTTTATTTAGTACTGACCTGAATAAGATATTAAGATGTTTACATATAGTCCACGAGAGAAAATAATAGTTGAAAGTAAAGAAATATATCAACGAATGATTTAAATCACATTTTATTATAGCAGATAGATGAGTTAAATTCTGTAGAATAAGTGAAGTAAGGTCTCTTCCTCAAATTTACAGAATGCTTATAAGTTAGAGAGATCAACAAAAGAAGCAATAGCCATTATGTCGAGTATTAAAATGACCTTCTCTGTTTTTATTAGAAATGCATCATTTTTCAGGCAGTAGCCACGCTCTCTTCCAGTGAATACTGTCAAAGAAATGCACCAAAAACTTTTACACCTAGAAGATGTGTGAATAATAGAGTAATGTAGCAATTGCTTTGTGCTTCCTGACATTTTTTTCTATCCAGACAAACTCCATCCAATAAAAGTTTAGGCATAACTGTTTTTATTTTTAATTTGGCAACTGTGACTGAAAATTCCCTCTAAATTACACAAGAAGAGGAAATTACAGACGTCGAGCAGTACACATATCACATGAACTATGCTGCTAGATGCGAGTGTTCAATAATAATTGTTCATTTATGATAACACCTTGTTATTAGTTTGTACCTGCATTTGTTGATCAGTTTTAACATATAAGTTAGTAAAACTGGTAAACTTCTGCCAGGACATTATCCCTTAAGTTGTGCATTGTGCCCTATTTTACAGACGTTTCTTAAAGTGTGGCATACTAACTAACTACCAATACACTGCTTAAATATAGAATTGTTCAGAATGTGTCGTTAATAAGAAAACACACAAAAAATGTAATTGTTCAAAAATGTGTAAATGTTCAATAATTCAATGTTGTATTTAAAAATAAATGCATGC